TTCATAATTTTTTGGTCGAAAATTTGTCAACAATCATTTTGACCAAGTTATTGATAAAAAATTTGGTCAAAAATTAACATGTTTTCTTGACCAATTTTCAATCAATCTTCTTTGTCGCAAGTTTTCGAACATTTTTTGACAAACTTACGAATCCGTCAAAAATTGGTTGAAATTTTTCGACCAATTTTTGACTTTTATATTTCATCATATTTTCTTGACCAATTTATAACGAAAATAAATATTCGTCTAAAATTGATCGAAAATGGTCAAAATAGTTTTGACCACAAAAAAAATTAGTCAAAAATTGATATGTTTTCTTGTAGTGAACATGCAATTAATGATGCAACTAGTGGCTGGTAATATTTAACTATTACAAAAACTAGTTCATATTGTATAAAATTTTAGCATCCCAAAAAAACCGAAAAGTTGTCGATATTTTGCTTGAGATTCAAATTGTCAATTGGTAGGTAAACTGTTAATCTCTTGTATATTCATATGAGCAAATATAGTCAACATTCGATATTTAGGAGTACTTCATGCATTAATTCAATATTTATTCGTGAACTTTAAATATGCTAATGTACAAAGTCAACAAAGTTCCTTTATAAGACGAGTTTTAGATCTATGATATAATCTTAGAATTTGTAATCACTCAACAATATATAAGTTAAATCACTTATATAGTAACATGGTATATATAGTTTATAAATTGTCAAAATTTAATATCAAACAAATTGCAAATGGTTTGATGAATAACATGACGGACAGTACGGTTACACTACAAACATTGCGGCTAATTTCGTGGGGATAATCAACGTGCTATGACTTACTTTTGCTATATTTTTCGTATTAATACGTACGTACGTCGTGGTATCCTATATATTATTATATTTCTTCCATAACTTTTAATCATTTTATATTTTGAATAATTCTGAAAAAGCAAATAAAATGTATACGTAGGTCGGCTTATATATAGCTTGTAGGTACTCGTGAACATATCACCACCCATTGTATAATTAACTCTCTTAATTATACTTTTTGTTTTCTATAAGTCACAATTGATAGATTTGTTTTGGTTTGGTTTGTGTCATTCAGCGTAAAAACGCACGCGCACAATGTCTCTCGTTCTATCTCTTTGCTTGGCCTTCCTTTTTTCGCTTGGCCATGGTTCTCATAGCTTACCTGCACAAAGGGCTCCTCATCTTGATAGTAAGTTCACTTTAATTATTGCATAATTA